GAGATACGATAGGCAAGAAAACGAAGAAAATTAAATTAACACGGAGAACACAAAGATGTTAACGTGAAAAACCCCTCCAATGAGAAAGGGAAAAGAGGCAACACTGTCAACCCAACAATGCAGCTCACTGAGAAGCTCCAACACCGACGTCGACCCAAAAGCTGACCTCCACCACTAAGCATGCCCGCGATCCTAAGTGAGAAGTGAGCGAGTAATTCGAAAACGCATGTAAGGTTCCAAGGAGGGAAATGACCCACTTGGGCACCATCTTCGCCAGCATCAACCTCCTTCCCCAACCCCCACCCCCTTGAATAAACTCAAGCTTTCACCTAGAACTACACCCCACCCACCCACCAAACCTCGCGGAAGGGTGTGTGATAGCACTATGGGTATCCCAATCTTTTGGTGAGAAACACTCCATCGTAAAAAAAAGGTTTAGATGAGTTTGATGATTCAACTATAATGTGTAGTAATGCACTTTGTAACCTCGAATCATATTCTTCCAAATTTAGAAAATGGAATATATATTCGCCGTTGACAACATAGCATGCCCGACTACAAAGAATTCCTCTGTGATCGTGTCATGTGGCCCATATCTGCACCCGTCTTTTTACTTCTGCCAAAGCCTGAAAAATGTTATGCTTTGTAAAAACATTTCTGCACTCTTGCAGTAAAACCTGCAGCTACCCCCGGCCGAAGGTTGAAACGAATTCTAGAACATGGCCGGCAATTTTCGCTGCAAATCAGTGGGCATGACTAAGCTAGTCTTGCGCTGCTTCACATCACATGGGTTAGGTTCCTTGGGATAGCAAATCGAAGCATAAATAGACGATGGACATACATTTAAGCTAAAAGGTCCAGCTAGCTACGAGTATGTGCCCTTGTTCGGGCGAAAGCGATCCATCGGTTAAGCTTCCAGTAACCATTTTAAGCCAAAGGCACAGCCATGAGCCTGCACTACTCGTTTGCACAAACTAGTGAAAAAGGACGGCCCGTGACCTGTACCCGCATCAATGGCGCGTAGCTAGAGTGTGCCCAGCATATTAGTGCTAGAAATAAACAGTGGACTGCGCCATGGCGGTTCATATTTGGGGAGGAGGAAGCTTCGTGGAAGTTGCCTCTCACACCGTAGCTAGCATCAGGAGAGCAGAGGTCGAGGAAGTGTCTCCAAGCAGAGGCCGCCGGCCGGCTCTGCTCCGGTCGTCTGCAACTACGATCTTGGACGGACGGCGGCATACTAGTCCGACATCCCTCGCGGGGAGACCGCCGCCCGGCACGCCGGTGCACCGGGGGCCCTGCGCGCGCGCGGTTGCACACATCACACAGCTACGTTATTCATCCGGCCTCTGTCCATAGTTAATCAGTACTACGTACGTAGAGTACAGCCAGTATTGGATACATATGTAGCTGCAGATTAGAGAGGAACTTCTTCATTTACCATGTACTACAGTAGTTGATCTGATTGCTAGCTAGCTGGATAGGATTTTATGTAAGATTAATTAGCTTGGGCAGTTAAAAATATTACTATCTGCATTTTTAGAAGGGGAGGTCGCAACCCCCTTTGGCCGCCAAGAAGCTCAGCTAGTGCATGCATGCATCATGTTGGTGGTGGAGAATTCAAAACGCCGGCTACTTTCGA